TTCTCAATTGAAGATTAAATTCACAAATTGAACATTCAATTTAAGTCATACTTATTTCCTTCACATACAAAGTGAGAAAATTTTTCAGAAATAGCAATAGTTTGAGCCTAATTATCAAATATAGAGAGAATTTTTGAAATTTACCCAATGTCAATTATATAATAATTTGTTCTGTATTAGTGACACAACAACAAATAAAAAGTGAATTCTTATCTCAGAGCAAATTATTATATCAATAATACCATACATATTTGTAAAATTATTGTATCACTTATACATAATAAACTTCTAAAACTATTATTTGTATTATATATATATATATATATATATATATATATTAAATATCATAAATTTTCGCTATCTTTAGCAATTTTTTTAAATCTCTCGCTATATTAGGTAAATATAATGTACAAGTTTATCATGATTTGATAATTTTTCCTATTTCCTAATTACAAATTATCTTCTTTAGGTAAATTGCTAATTAAATTAGTTTTGTCACATTAATCAGTTTCACACGTCTCTGCCAAGTCACTATTACCAACATTATTTGTGATGTAGATCTAATTAAATTAAACTTTAGAAAATTAAATATATTAAAATACTAAAAATGAACCATTTGCAAAATTTTCCACAAGCATATAAACTACGCATATGATGCTCATCCATAAACTCCCTTTTTTTCTTGATTGCCTCTAAAAATATCTTCTTTCTTAATTTTCTATATTTTTAAGGCAAAAGAAGAAAAAAAATTATGAAGGAAGATATAGAGCAAAGTGAGAACAGAGTAAATGAAGAAATAACAACTCCTCTTATAATTCAAACAAATAAAAGAGTAAAAGAAGAAAATGGATGTTATGAGAAGAAACAAGATAGGTGCATGGTTTACCTTAGCACATTTGTGGCTGTTTGTGGTTCATATTCATTTGGATCTTGTGTAAGTTCACTACTTCATCACACGGTTACTTAACTAATAGTTACGTTTTTTATGAGAGAATAACTGTTTTATTATTTGAGTGATCGTATGATAAATCAACTGTCTTATTTGATTGTTGTTAGTGTGTATAACTTAAATCCTTCATTTTCCCCCCCTTTTCAGGCTGGATATTCATCACCAACACAATCCGCCATCAGAGAGGATCTTAACTTATCTATAGCAGAGGTTAGATTCAGAGAAAAGATTTAGTTCGTTTTACTTTTCTTTTTAGTTCGTTTTTTTTTAAAAAATGTATATTTTCCTTTTTTGGCATTTTTTAATTTTAATTTTTTCATGTGTCATGTTTTGGTACATTTTGCATATATTTAGTTCAGGACCATAAAATTGAATTTTTTTTTTCTTAATCTTCGTGTCAAGTTATAACAATCCATAATAAGTGAGATTAGTAAATAAGGCAGGCAATATGCTATAATAGGGTAACTACAGATAGTGTAAGAATTCGTATAGTGTCAGTGTATATAAGTTAAATCCTTCATTCATTCACTTGGTTAGGTGAGTATTCTTGATTCGATTTACTAGAAAATGAACTACTTCTGCTGATCAAATGATAAATGAACTAGTATTAGAATGAAGTATTTGTACTGGTGTTAGAACACTAACATGATGTACTCAAGAATCTACATTGGTTGGAATTCTTCCGTTCTTAATGGAATATCGAATGTGCTGTTGTATTGGACTATACGTTGAATGTGCTTTTGTATTGTTGGCCTATACGTTGAATGTGTTTTGCAATACAGTTCTCGCTCTTTGGTTCAATATTGACATTTGGTGCAATGATTGGAGCAATCACAAGTGGTCCAATCGCTGATTATATTGGTCGCAAAGGGGTAAGCAGAGGGAAAATTCTTACACCAGTATCATCCATGTTCACATATCGTCTTTATACAGCCCGATAATTATGTATGTATATGTAACACACAAACAGGCAATGAGAATGTCAAGTGGTTTCTGTGTTGCTGGATGGTTAGCTATTTTCTTCGCTCAGGTTTATTACAAGCTTTCTTATCATATTCGCGACAGAGGAATTGCTTCTTAGGTCTTATGAACTGATATAATTATTTTTTGACTTCTTCAAGGGAGCACTTGCTCTGGACATTGGAAGATTGGCAACAGGATATGGAATGGGAGTTTTCTCTTATGTGGTACGTTAATCGGTTGTTTTATTAATATATCCAACTATAGTTATGTGTTCAAACTTCTTGGTTCTGTCATTTACCTTGACAACAATGAATCAGGTGCCGGTATTTATAGCTGAAATTGCACCTAAAGATTTACGAGGAGCTTTGACAACCATAAACCAGGTAACTTGAACTTGCTATCTGTATTTTTTCTATTGTTTATCAAGCAGTCTATATCACCGTTTGTTTCACTGAGATAACTTGAAACAATGTGGTTACTTCAGTCTTCGATAAAATGAAGATAAGCTAAAGAGAAAGAAATATACTATACTTCTATAGGGTATGGAGTAGATATTGTTGTGGTTGCCTCTTGTTTATCATACTGTTGACTGTTTGTTGTATCTAAACTGACAGCTGATGATATGTTGTGGAGTCTCAGTTTCCTTCATTATAGGAACTATGATGACATGGAGGACGTTGGCGTTAACAGGTTTGTTTTAGCATCAAGTTGTATACAGAGAAATAACCACAATGAACAACGTATTCAATGATCGATAAGAGTTTGTTTTTCTTTTTCCAGGATTAATTCCATGTGCTATTCTGCTTTTCGGTCTATTTATCATTCCAGAGTCACCTAGGTGGTTGGTGAGTTAGAAAAACGAATGTTTAATAGTATTTATACGGTCAGTAAAATCAAGAAAATGACATTAATATTTCGATTATATGTAATAGGCAAAAATAGGACATCAAAAGGAGTTTGAACTTGCACTACGTAAACTTCGAGGCAAAGATGCTGATATATCTGAGGAGGCAGCTGAAATCAAGGTTCATTGTTTTCAAAAGCTCAAAGTTCAGTTTCTTTCAGTTTTCGGAGTTCATCTAAGACTTCCTGATCTGTCTGTGACAGGATTATATAGAAACACTTGAAAAGCTTCCGAAAGTGAACTTGTTTGATTTGTTCCAAAGAAGATACTCGAGCTCACTTATAGTAAAGTTCCTTTCCTATACATTGTTTTTTTTGATATTTTGGTAGCTGAAACAGTTGGTTAATTTTTACTTGTGATAAATCTATGGATAGGTGGGAGTTGGACTTATGGTGTTTCAACAGTTTGGTGGAATCAATGGAATCTGTTTCTACACCGGTAGCATATTTGAGTCCTCAGGTACGTACGTAGCATTCCCTCATTGTCAAATATCAGTTCACACTCGCGATAAGAAACACAGGACATTCAATATTATAATAGTGCTTAGAACTTGAAACCTCACTAACCATATTGTATTTCTTTTCCAGGTTTCCCCTCTGATATTGGAACTATAATCTATGCAATTATACAGGTTTCTACTCTATGGATGTTAGATATCTCCCTCTTAAAGCTTGGTGTTATAACGGATAATTCACTTTTTTACTTTATTTTCTTCATCAGGTTCCCATCACCGCGTTGGGTGCAGCCTTAATCGACAGAACTGGAAGAAAACCTCTTTTATTGGTACATCTCGGAAAAGAAAACCATTTTCTTGAGGATATTACATGTTGCAGTCACAGAATATAATCATCGCGATATCCTTGCAGGTTTCAGGAACAGGACTTGTCATAGGCTGTATACTAACAGGAATCTCATTCTATATGAAGGTCAACATTATAACCAAAACTGCTTACTATTCTTATTATATATCTCAAGAACTCTTTGACGAAAAAAATTAAATTATTATTGGAGCTGCAGGGACATGAAATGGCAATAAAGGCAGCACCGATACTTGCTGTAACAGGCATACTGGTACCATCACTGTCCTTTCTAAAATTGTCCCCGACCCCAACGCTCCCTCATTTCAGTTTATGTAATACTTGTTCTCAAACGCCAGGTCTATATCGGTTCCTTTTCAGTAGGAATGGGAGCAGTTCCGTGGGTTGTGATGTCAGAGGTATGTTAATCTATACCATCCTGAATCCTCCAACTAACATTTTTAAGGCTAAGAAACGCCTTTCGTACAGATATATCCTATAAATATTAAAGGTGCTGCTGGGAGCCTTGCAACACTAGTGAATTGGTTCGGAGCATGGGCGTGCTCCTACACTTTCAACTTCCTCATGACCTGGAATTCTTTTGGTAACTAAACAGTCGTCAATCATTATCACAAATATCATTTCTAAAGATGAGATATTTCAACTAACATTAGTTAATTTTAACTGTTTTTCAGGTACGTTCGTTCTGTATGCTGCAGTGAATGCACTGTCCATATTATTTGTGATAAAAATAGTACCTGAAACCAAAGGAAGAACTTTGGAACAAATCCAGGCTGCTATCAATGCATCATGAAATACCTTAGCCTTCATCGATTCATCTTTCGTACTGAAATTTACTTTATCAGAGAGAGTTGACACAATTCATGTTGTCGTTTGAAACTACATTCGATCTGATTCTCATCCTCAAATTTAAGACATTTGAGTGTTTGTTGTATCATGGATCACATATTTTCATTTGTACTCATTGATTCATCTCACTTAAAAAAGGAGAATTTTAAAGTTAAAGTGACATTCTTGCGTGAAACAAACGGACATATATACCATATAAATTGAGACTGAAAGAAGAATAGTATGTATTTATTTGGTCAAATACATAAACAGATTTCTAAACTTGTTGTGTATTTCCCATCAGGTACCTTAACTATGCTATTTTTGAATCATCCATAACTTGTTCCTTTTAAACACCTGTTGTTGATGTGGAACCAGATTTTGTAAGGAGTATTGATAGATGATAGATATGTTGTTTAAGAACTCATTAGTCCAATTGTTGATAGTGAAAATGTTCGAGAATAATTGTATTTTATTTCAAGTCATTTGAACTATTAGAAAACAAACGAGACCAACTACACAGTTGGTCTTCATTCCTTCAGTCAAAATCATTACAATAAGAACACAATCGGAGACATCTACAAAAGAAAAGTCGATCAAAATCAATCAATAATGTTTAAAAGGAACAAATTATGGGTGGTTCAATGATTCAATAGGAAAATGTCGTAGTTGAGATGCCTGAGGGGAAAAACTCAACAAGTTTAGAAATCTGGTTATGAGTTCGGCTTAATTTATTTTGTTAGGAATTGTTGGGCACACCTTTGGGGAATCTTAATTGTTTTATTCAGTAGGACACACATATAAATCAAATAAAATTACAGTCAACTATATACAACAAAATGAAACGAAACAAAATGAAAAGAAATTTTTTGCCAAAAGCTTTTAGCCTGTTGGGTAAAATTCTTAAATGGATCAAGTAACCAAAGAAAATTAAAAGGAAAAGGGACATCAAAAATAAGCAATCACATTCTGATATTTACACTAAATCAACTTTTGTTAATCGTTTATAACTAATTAATACTACTACTTCATTTGTTCCATTTCATGTAAAATTAAAAAAGAAAAAAAAAGGATTAAATCTGCTACAAAAAATAATCCAACTTCATTTTGCTTTTTACCAACATCATTATATAGCCATTTCAAATCTCATAGTAACATAGAACGAAAAATTTCAAAAGTCAATTTTTTCTTTTCAAATGCCATATTCAATCAAACAAATCCACAAAATAATACTAAAAACACATACTATATAGCATTATTTACCTCATTATATTACTAATTCTAAATCAAATATATTTCCCCATAAACACAATAAGATCATTTATCTAAAAGAAACAAGATCACCACAAACACAATTTTTTTTAATTTTTGCATGACACACATTTATTCATTAATTCTTCATGCAAAATCCATACTACGTAATAGAAAAAAAATTACTAATCTACCCTCACTATCAATCCATCACTATAACTGCCATTTCAAGAATCATCTTTTTCTACTATTCTTGTATGATCATTATAATTTCCTCTTTACAACAAGAAGAAGAAGAAGAAGAAGAAGAAGAAGAAGAAGAAGAAGAAGAAGAAGAAGAAGAAGAAGAAGAAGAAGAAGAAGAAGAAGAAGAAGAAGAAGAAGAAGAAGAAGAAGAAGAAGAAGAAGAAGAAGAAGAAGAAGAAGAAGAAGAAGAAGAAGAAGAAGAAGAAGAAGAAGATTTTCCATCGATAAACTTTATTCGAACTAGGACATCACTTTCTTCACTTGGAGGTATACGTTCAACAATAACCTCCGGCCGATTATTTTTCACACTTGAAATCTGCAACCGTCCATTTTCCCGCACTATTTCTAGATCAAATCTTGGCCGTCCGTTCTCGTTCATACTCAATAAAAGTGGCGGGAAATTTCTAACTGTTGGTGAAGGTGAACTAGTACATTTTGTATTTGATCTTGATCTTGATCTTCGTTCATCTAATTCTTCGGAACTGCAGTTTGATTTCTCGTTGAAGCTCTCAAACCCTAGGGTTTCTGTAATTGTATGTAATGAAATGTTGAGTAGAGGCTTACTATGATAATCATCAATGGGATATGACTCGATCGATTCGAATTCGTCGTCGTTTTTGTTCTCCATAATGAAGAACCGATGTTAAAAGAAATAAAAAATGAAGTGTTGATCGAGTAGTATTAAAATTGCAAGTATTAAAGAAGCTGAAGAATTATTCAAAAAGCGCGCGCTAAGTCGTTTTAACCGTTTCGGTTATAATCTTTACATTGTGTGGGCCCCAACTGTGAACTTTTTTTTTTTTTGAGTTTAAAATTTCGGAGAGTAACAGACTCATTACTGTATCATAACTCGTGTTGGTTAAGAGCAATTTAATTAGGGCAAAGGAAACTAAAATTACCATTTGTCTCTTATAAGTTTATAATTAAAGAAATTTCTCAAACTGATACAATTATATAAGCGGTGATACATTAATATGATGCGCGAGATACATTAATCGTTAAGTAAGATACATTACATTTTATACATGATACACGAGATACATTAATTTGATGCACTGATACATTAATCTAATGCGTGAAAATAAAAAATTTTGGAGATTTGTAAAACTAATAGGGAATAATAGTAATAAGAGAACTTAAAAGTGGAAATTCTGTTATTTTTCCATTTAATTAGTGGTAGTTGTGTAATAGTATAGTTTTTTATAAAAGAAAAAAAGATTTTCATTAATTTTATTTGGTATTTAAAGAAATTAGAACTTAATAAGTAGTGTGCAAAAATCGAACTAACCAATAAACCAAATTGAAAAAATGTTATTGAATTATTGGGTTTTTTTGAAAAAGTTATTGGGTTATTGGTTCGATATCGGTCTTTACTATTGCGGTATTGGGTAGCCGATCATCCAATAAGACCATAATAATTTATAACTTTACCCTTCGTAAATATTACTAACTAGATATCATAACTATATCAAATTATTAGTGCTCTACCTACTTCAGACTAAGTTTACAATTATAGCTATTTGATTTTAGTTTTAATTTTAGTCTTATTAGACTATTTGATTTTAGTTTTAGTTTGTAATTGTAAGTTGTAGCTTTTGCAAGTTTGTAAAGGTCTGTAATTTGATTAACTTAAGAAATCCCATTTTATGTTTCAGCGGTCATGACATGTAATTATAGCCTTTGTACTATACTTTCTCTTATGGATGCACCTTCTCATTAACTTTCTTGTTTCACTTATCAAATCATTTAGAGAAGCGAGAAGTCATATAATATTTTACGGATATTTTTTTATGGGGTAAATCGAACATAGAAGCGATAATGATAAAAAATCAATAAACCGGATTCCGATAAAAATGTCTTATTGATTTATTATTGGGTTAGCCGATTTAAAAATAAAAAATCGATAAACTGAACTGATATTACATAAAAGCGAACACAACCTATCGATGCACACCCAGTGATTAGGTTATGAATTATTTTAGCTTATTTCAAACCAAATAATCTTTTGAACAGGTTATGTAATTACCTGTTTATTTATTTACGAAATAATGCACAAGTATCCCCTCAACTTATGTTTGGAATCTCAGAGACACACTTTTTTTTTTCTTTTTATCAACAGAGACACACTTGGACTATATATACTAAGGTCCTATTACCCTCCTGAAATTATTTTATAAATAATTTTCTACATTTTTTCGGCCTACGTGGCACTATCTTGTGGGCTCAACGTTGGTTAACATTTTTTTTCAAGCTAGTGGCAAGCAAACCGAAAAGGGGTAGAAAATTACTTATAGAATAAGATTGGGAGGGGGGGAGGTAATAGGACCTTTATATAGTATAAGTTTGTCACTGATATTTCGGAAATAGATTGAGGGATTACTTATGCATTTTCTATTTATTTAACTCATTTTAATTCACGTAAATTCAATTGACGTGAGTTATGAGCTCTAGCCTACTTCCCATTTTTTTTTAAAAAAAAAAGTAATTGGGACTTTCGTTTAGAAAATTCATCAAGAATTAAGAAAAAATAAGAGATAAAAAGTGTTGCTGCCCAGGATCGAACTGGGGACCTTTAGTGTGTAAGACTAACGTGATAACCACTACACCACAGCAACTTATGTTTCACTTTGTAGTATTAATAATATTCATAACCTGAAAGTATACAAACATAAACTAGGTAATTCTTCACCGTAAGCACACTGTCATGATTAGTTGAGAAATGTGTAATGTAATCTATGGGTTCACAGACCTTATATATGTATTAAGAGACATGCTCGTTTGATAGGGTGTATAAGAATAGTGTTAAATAAGGTGTATAAGTTGTGTAACTACTACAACATTACTGTCCATATTCAATGCTATTGTTATACACTCTACCAAATGACACCTACATAGTTGAGTTTCTACCGGTAATAATTGGTGTCATAGGAACCTATAAAATTCAAATCTTGAATTTGCCTGAGGCGAGCTTATCCTAAAGAAACCGACAAATTCATCAAGCTGGATAGGTAGTTGAGCTCAAACTGCTTTAGATATGTAGTTCAATCACAAGTTGTGTCATATAAATTATGTCATCTATTCCTTTTACATCTTCCTTTTCTAAAGCAAGGTGTAATGAAGTGGAAACAACACTTTTCCCACCCTAAAAGATATCTTTCTTTACAAAGAACAGAGAAGAAAGCATAAAGCCATACATCAATCACAATAATTAACAATCTACCTATGTTTACTTTTCATGTGTCTATTTTCCATATACCCTTGTTTGGATTTGAATGAGTAATCCTGACTACTTTATGTTTCGAATCCCGCCTTTTCTTGTTGACGTATTCGTGAGGAACAGTATCTACTTTTACCAAATCAACTTTCACTATGTGGTGATCAGATGTTCCTTTCGAGGAGAAAACCGAGTATGATCCTGGAACAAACTTGTATGGTGAATCGGATGATGAAAGTATGTAATCCACTCGTGTTCCATACTTGCACGTTCCTTGCACGCCTGTATAATTTTAACAAAATTTGAGCCAACAATACAAAACGATCATCATATAGATTGAAACAGAAGGAATATCTTACTCTGTCCTTTGGCAATCATGACAACAGACTCGCATTCCCCAGCGAAATCCTTAGCATCTGTATATTCTTTACTCTTCAAATACTTCATTACTTCAAACTTTGGTATTGGCTTTCCCATCTCTTCATAATACTGCAAAACGACGATTCAAACAGAATGAGGAAAGAAGCCATATGTGATTTGATTTTCTTTTTTTTTCGAATTGGGATCTGTCATGTATTTTACCTTAACAATTTCTGTCCACCTTTCTGTAGAGTAATCTGTTTCGTCAAGAGAATTTAAACCCCCAGCTAAAATGTGTGGCTTATCAGATGATTGGATTATTGCATTTATCTGCTTCATTCGCCAATTCTCATCCAAGTGATCAAGGTGTGTACAGAAGAAATTTAATTCTCCAACTCGAGGAACGTCAATTGTTGCCTTCAGAACATTTCTGCATTCACCATAAAAGATTAACCTTCTTCCATTTAGATACAATAATTTCTCTACACTTCGCGCTATAGTACTGTGCTTCTCTTGTAAAATTGAATCAAGTGCTTATATACATGTTGACAAATAAATGAATACTATCCTTCGATCTGCGCAAAATGAACTGCCAAACTCAACTAGTTGCGGTAAAACAAGACATAATACATAAACACTCTCAAACTTGGCCTCAACTAGTAACATAAAGACACCTCGATTCATCTCTGTTACGGTGTCAGTTGAACACTCCAACTTACAAAAAAATCATCTAGAGCAACTATAAACATCTATGTTCCACGTCAGCATGAGGTGACCACGAGATACAACTAGGAAAAGTTAGATTGAGACCAAGTTGAGGTATCTAGATGTGCATTCTCAAAGTTAGAGTGTTTACTCGCCAGCTATAGCTAAGTTTGAGTGTTTGCTTATGAATTAATGCCAAAAAAAAAAAAAACTAGTAACTTTGACACACACATTACATAAGGGGTTTTAGACCATACAAGTGCTCTTAACAAGTTATTGTATCTGATAAAAGAAATACTGATTTTCTGTCACTTTAGTGAGAGATTATACTTCATAAGTAATAAAATACTCTGTACGCGCTAAATTAGCTGGCTATAATTTCTATATTTTGCTAAAACTTTTGAGTTAGATGTCTTTATTGATTCATTCATTTTTCACTTTAGGTTGGCATAAGTTTGTCATGACATAGAAAAATACAGTAAGGTGCAACATGGATCACACATAAAGTACTTATGTGAATTAAATATGAAATAACTAATTACAAAGTTCCTGCAGCACAAGATGCTCTGCCATGAAAAATCTGTTTGCATAGTTTCAGTTTAGTTAAATTTTTAATTTATATGATCGAAAATCTGTCAACACCACTGAATTGTATCATTCAACATTGACGATGTAAAAAATATTTATACAATCATATATTACCTGAAATCGGAGTCATCAAAGATTTTTTGAATATTCCATGACTTGATTGGCCATTTTGACATGATAGCGTTACCATATTCAGGTGCCCAGCTCTCTGCAAATACATAATTCATCCCCAAAGCATCAGCTAAATCCGATAACGGCTTCATACCTTTCTCTTCCTCTGCTTTAACATCTTGCAAAGCCAGAATATCCGCATTCAATTCTCTCAATACTTCAAGAACACTTCTCGTAATTCTATAGCTTTGACAATCAATTCGAGGCATACTCACAGTAGACCTTAACGGAGATTTTCCTCTACATATCCCACTCCCTGAAAACCTCTCACTATCACATCCCAAAATCCTCAATTGCCCACTTTTCTTCAGAGATATTTCATTATCTGGTAAATTAATCGAAACCCTTAACTTCGATTTCGAGAAATTTTGTCTTTTCAACAAAAGCGTATCTGTTTCTTTCGTCGGATGAAGAGGTGATTGTTTGAGTATACTCTTAGGTCGATCATTCGCTGATTTCACTCTTAAATTATAGTAATCACTCATTTTACTAGCTTTTGAATTCGAAAATTCATCATTTTCAAAATCAAAACTAGCTGATCTATCAGAACTACTCCTTGGAAGTGCGGGCGCCATGGAGAAAAGCGCAGCATTAAATGTAGCTACTCGTATGGTTCGTCCAGTTTTAGAACGATTCAATTCGCCATTACTTGGATGAATTGCTGCTGACCCATTTGAATTTGACGGATCAATTTGTGAATGAGAACTTGAATTTGATTTTCCCAGTTTTTTCACAGTAATTTTGATTTTGTTCTTTGAACGGCAGCGTATTGGCCACCGGAGACTAAAACAGAGGCGCTTCAGCTTTTCGTTGAGGACTCTAAGCATGACTTAGAAATTGGATTTGACAGAAATGGTTGACTGAAGAGAAAAGAGTGATATACTTGCACTAAATATAAGTATTATGATCAATTCATATTCAT